GTGCCGGCCCCTCGTGCTAGCCGGCCCCTCCCGCGCACCACCGGCCCCTTGCGCCTAGCCCGCCCCTCACGCACTTGTCGGCCCCTCTATACGCGCCGGCCCCTCGCGCGTCCGCTGGCTCCTCAAGCGCCCACCGACCCTCCCGCGCCCCTGGGCCCCAGCACTCCGCCGGCCCCTTGTGCCCTACTAGCTCTGCGCACCTCAGGCCCTCCTCGGCCTTCAGCCCGGTCTCCTCGGCGAAGAGTCCTGCCATCACGCTGCTGTACCGCAGTACCGCTGAGTACCTGTGCCGCTGTGTCCCTGTGCCGTTGTGTCCCTGTGCCACTATGTCACCGTGTCCCTGTGCTGGTGAGGTTGCACGATGGCGGACGCCATACTTCGCCTGGACTCGGAGGGACACGCGATCGACTTCGCGGCAAGGCTTGTCAATCTTCGCCGGCACTTGTCAGGTCAGCGCCAGGATGGGCACTCCCTGGCTATGCATGTTGATGGCTTGCTTCCTCGCCCCCCCGTGCCTGATCCCCTCCTTGCTGACCCCACCATTGCTGAGAGTGAGGCCTTTGTTGCTACTGCACTCGCTCGCGCTATCTGGGATTCTCGCAATGCTGTAGCGCAGCTTGCCATTAGCCATGCGCTTCCCATGTCTGAGCGCCCCCGCTTCACTACTGTAGCGAACGCCAAAGACTTCCTAGATGCAGCCGTTGTGCACTACTCCACACTTGCCTTCGCCTCTGCTGGTCGCTTTATCCTCCACATGCTATTCCCCAATCTTTCCGCTTTCCCCACTGTCGCTGATCTCGCCACTCACCTCCGTGCACTAGAGACTAGCTACCGAGCTGCTAGCACTGCTGCCCAGCTCACTGCCTTCCCCCAACCATTCTGCGCTACCCTGTACCTTATTGTCATGCGCCTGCCTGACCGCTTAGCCATTGCCCGAGACCACTTCCTTAGCCAGCACCTTGGCGACCTCACCCTGACTGCCTTTGTCCCTGCCCTGTCTGAGATAGAGACTCGCCAGCGCACTGTCGCTCAGTCGAGCAGTGTTGCGGCAGTCCCTATCTTTCAGGGTTGTGCTCCCTCCCAGCGCACGTACGCTGACGTTTCCGCCACGGTCGCTACGACTGCACCTACCACTAAGACCACAGTTGCGGCCTTCCCGCAGCAGCGACAGCATCGGGGCTGCCGCGGCCCCAAGGGAGGGCGTGGTGGTGGCGCTGGTGGTGGTGGTGGTGGTGGCAGGGACAGTGGTTCTGACGAGGGGGGTTGGGGTTGGTGTCCAGGAGCAGCAGCACCCGCAGGCGCCGCAGCAGCAGCACTTGCCGCAGCAGCAGAAGCAGCAGCCGCAGCAGTCATAGAACCAGCCGCAGCAGCAGCAGCACCAGTCGTGGGCCCTCCTCCCGCCGGGGTGGCCAGGAGCCCCAGAAGCTGGTGGCCGCGGTGGCTGCCCCTGCAGCTCAGCGTCTACCGGCAGCTTCGGTGCTATGAGCTGCCATTACCAGCTCCCAACCGGGCCCCTTCATGGCACAGTGTGCCGCCGCCTGCACCCAACCGCCCGCTGCTTCCGCAGCCTCGATGACCTCTTCCGTCGCCGCTTCGGCCCGGCCACGGACCTCCCCGACTAGCCCAGCCTGCTGCATCACGGTGTGTCTGTGTTTGACTTAGACATGGATCAGAATAGTTTTGCCCTGCATTCTAGTGTGTCTGAATCTTATTACCCTATGTTCTCTAGCTTAGGCGTAACACCTGTGTGTAGTCCAGACTCCCCTGCTGCGACAAGCATAGGACCGTTTGCGTTGTCTAGCCTAGGCTCTACACTTGCTCCTCGTTCGTCTACCGCTACTGCTTCGCTGTCCTTAACGCTCGACTCTGGTGCGTCTGCCTGCTTCTTCCGCGACCACGCCAACCTCACGCCGCTCACTGCGCCTGCCGCTGTCGCACTTGCTGACCCCTCTCCTGGTCCTCTCGCCGCTCGCAGCTACACTACCCTTCCCTGTCCAGCGGTCCCCTAGGGTTCTTTGACAGGCTTGCACATCCCTTCGTTCTCCAGGAACTTAGTTGGTGTCGGCTGTCTTCAGGACCTCGGCGTCACCACTACGTTTCCTGGTCACGAACGGTATGCTGTCTATACCGAGGCCGCCTCAGGTTCCCCCCTTGCGACGTTCCCCCAGGACCCAGTGTCTGGCTTGTTTACGCTGGACACTGCTTCCCCCCTGGTTGGGGCGTCCTCCCCAAGCCCTGTGTCTACCCAAGTCGCCGCTGCTTGCTCGTGTCGATCGCTCACTCACCCGCCACTTCTGTGGCACGACTGTCGAGGTCACCCCGCACTCCCGCGTCTGCGTCACATGTCTCAGCACCGTCTCGTCCTAGGTCTCCCTTCGTCGCTTCCTGCCCTCCCTCCTTCCCCCACGCCACTGTGCACGCCCTACATCAAGGACCGGCTTCGTCGTACCCCTAGCTCCTCCTCGCTTCGGCCTGCCACCGCGCCACTTTAGACCCTACACCTGGACGTCTGGGGCACATCCCCCGTCCCTGGGCGCTTTGAGAGCGCTACTCTTTAGTGCTCGTTGACGACTACATGCGCTACACCACGCTTGTCGCTGCCGTTGCTGACTTCCCCTCTACCAGCTGCCTTGACTATGCCATCGCTTTGGTCTCTGACCCTGTCTGTCCTCAGTCCGTCGGAGGTGCATCTGCCCTTGGCAGTGACGTCCCAGAGGACAGGCAATACAAGCTTGCTTTCCTGTCTGAGGCTGCTCCCCATCTCTGTTCCATGCTGCTAGTCCCTGAGGGTGACCCTCGGACTTACGCTGAGGCGACCTCGGGACCCTGGGCCTCTCAGTGGATAGCTGCCATGGAGCAGGAGATGGCATCTTGGAGATTTCCCGGCACCTACGTCGACGTAGTTCCCCCACCTAGGGTGAACGTAGTCGATGGCCGATGGCTCTTCAAGGTGAAGCGCCCCGCTGGAGATCCGCCTGTGTTCAAGGTGCGCTACGTGGCTAGAGGTTTCAGTCAGCGAGAGGGGGTGGACTTCTTTCAGACCTTCGCCCCGACCCCGAAGACAACTACTCTTCGAGTGATGCTACACGTAGCATCACAGCGTGACTACGAGCTCCACTCTCTCGACTTCTCTACTGCTTTTCTCCATGGCAGCCTACACGAGCAGGTCTACCTGCGCCGTCCTCAGGGCTTCACCGTACCTTCCCTCTTAGGACCCAGTGGCTCCTCCGGCGCCCAGTCTACGGCCTGCGACAGGCCTCTCGTGAGTGGCACGACACTCTACGTGCTACGCTAGCTGACCTTCAATTCTTCCCGTCCTCTGCAGACCCCTAGCTCTTCGTTCATGCTGGCCAGACTCCGTTCTACATCCTTGTCTATGTAGACGACCTGATCTTCGCCACTTCAGATAGAGACGCACTGGCCTCCGTGAAGGCCGAGCTGCTGAGGCGACACACCTGTACTGACCTAGGAGAGCTATGCCGCTACCTTGGCCTGCAGATCTCCGGGGACAGAGAAGCGCGCACCATCATTCACATACAGTCACACTTGGTACGCCAGGTCCTTCAGAGGTTCGGTCTTCAGTTCTCCTCTGCACAGCAGACACCTCTGCCAGTAGACCACATGCTCTCAGCTCTTGTTCCTGAGGACTTAGTAGAGCCCAGTATTCCTTACGCAGAGCTGGTGGGCTGCCTGATGTACCTGATGGCTTGCACTCGTCCAGATCTCGCATACCCTCTCAGCATCCTGGCTTGCTTTGTGGCCACTGGCAGACACCGACCATAGCACTTGTCGGCCGCTAAGAGGGCTTTGCATTATCTAGCAAGTACATCGGGCATGGGGTTAGTGCTGGGAGGACGAAGGCCAGTGGTCCTTACTGGGCACACAGACGCTTCTTGGGCAGACGACGGTGAAACCCTCAGGTCCTCCCATGGCTACTGCTTTAGCCTTGGTTCAGGTACCATCTCATGGAGGTCCACTCGCTCCTCGTCTGTTGCCCAGTCTAGCTGTAAGGTTGAGATCTACGCTGGTGCCATGGCGGCACAGGAGCTCCGCTGGCTGACCTTCTTGCTCACCGACTTAGGTGAGCGGCCTAGCTCTGCCCCGGTTCTGTTCGTTGACAACTGAGCCATGATCCTCCTCTGTCAGGAGCCTCGACTTGAGGGCAGAGCGAAGCACATCCAGGTGCAGTACTTCCTCCTGCGCGAGCTACACTAGCGCCGTCAGGCCAGCGTAGTACACTTGGCCTCAAGTGCCAACACAGCTGATTTCTTTACCAAGGCACTTGCGCCTGAAGATGATCAGCGGCACTGTTTGCAGCTTGGTCTTGTTCCTGTAGACTCTCACTTGCTAGTACCTTGATTGTGTACTCATTTTTATATATACCTTCTTGACTGGCCTTGTGCGGGGCCTATTTTTGGATTTTTATTACTCTGAAATCAGGGAGTGCCTTATTTCATTACTATGAAAATCAGAGTGCTCCCCAATGGTTTCTCTGATTTTCCAGGGTTTTTTTTACTTGTAAAAGAATTACAATGATAATGCAGAGGGGTTTTTTACGTAACTCTCTACAGCAGGGTCATCATCTGTACGCGCGAGGCAAGATCGGGAGATGGGGGGGAAACGAAGGGGAAGGATCGAGAGATTGCAGGGGCGGAGGGAATCGAGCTGGTAGGGGAGGTCGACACAGCAGGGGCGGGGAAGGGAAATCTTGCACTCCCCTGCCCTTTCGAGCACTGATAAATTACTCTGATAAAATAGGCCTTGGCCTTGTGGCTTCTCTTCCAGTGGCTGGACTAGTAGTGCCGCCCTGGATTACTCTTGTTTAGTTTGTACTCTTGCTGACTGGTCTTCGGACCCCTGCCTCAGAGGTTGGACTAGTAGTGCCACCCTGAGCTGCGTGTTCCTTGCTCTGCACTGCCCCTTATCTAGCCTAGGGGGTGTGTCAACTTATGCATATGTTTATATGTATAAGTTATTGGCTAGATAGGCTTGTGTTCGTAGAGGGTACAAATAAACCCTATATCTTCCCTGCACTCTCTTGTTTCTATTATTCTAGTATTCTAACAGTCTGTACAGCGCAATTTCGACGTTAGGTTTTCCTGTTGTAGAACCCAAACCCCGGAATGCGAATCTGAGAAGGAATGTGTCTCAAACGTGGTTCTGCAAATACGTTCTCAGGCGTGCAGCGAATCTGGGAAGAGGCTAGCCTGGGACAAGGTCCATCGGAACACGCTCTAACAGTACGCATGCGTCTAATTACTCTATTCAATACTCCATTTCAAACTCTGTCTCGTACTCGTATTCCTGCAGCCAACCAAGCTCCTTCCCAAGCGCATCCATCCTCTTCCTCTGTGCGTCAAAGTCTGTTAGCGGAGTGGTAAACGGGTATATGTACACCACACGCCCCGCTATAGAGCGATATAATACATTGTCGTCGCGCAGTAACAATTCGATAGTGTCGCGCCCAAACAGGCCGTCCGTTCTGGCCCTTATGTAGTGCCCTCCTGGTAGTGGGGGGTGGGGTGGGGAGGGGGGGAGAGGGCAGAGGCCGATGTTGACTGTGTGTAAGGAGAGATGGTGAGGAGGGACAAGATTCAAGTCTGTGGGTGCGAATATGTGTGTGTGTACATGTGCTTGCGGGAGACACACAAAAGAAAGAGTCGAGAGGTAGGGGAGGAAGGGACATGAGGGAAGGAGATGGCAGAATCTTATCGTCTTGGTCGTCAGCACTTAACCATCTGGGTTGGTGCCATCTACCATGAGGGTCGACTGACCCTCATTCATGCCATCTACCATGAGGGTCGACTGACCCTCATTCATGCCATCTACCATGAGGGTCGACTGACCCTCATTCATGCCATCTACCATGAGGGTCCGTAGCATCTTACCATCTGGGAGATCGACTGACTCCTCAATGGCTGGGTTCTTGAGAGAGGAGAGAAGGACGCCCTCCAATCTCTGTTATGAGCATGCATACATGTGCGCACACACATGATGCACGCACACACATGAATGCATGGATGCATAAACACACAGGCACACATATGCATACGATCACACAAGGATGCAGGGTGCACACACACATGCACACAAGCGCACATGCACATACGTTCACACATGCAGGTGCATGGCAGTGAGAAGGGTAGCAGTTCAGGGCGGGGAAAAGGCTGGGTTGACATTGTCTGTTCTCTCTCTCATCCTCTCTCTCTCTCATCCTCTCTCTCTCTTATCCTCTCTCTCTCTCTCATCCTCTCTCTCTCATCCTCTCTCTCTCTCATCCTCTCTCTCTCTCATCCTCTCTCTCTCTCATCCTCTCTCTCTCTCTCATCCTCTCTCTCTCTCATCCTCTCTCTCTCTCATCCTCTATCTCTCTCATCCTCTCTCTCATCCTCTCTCTCTCTCATCCTCTCTCTCATCCTCTCTCTCTCTCATCCTCTCTCTCTCTCATCCTCTCTCTCTCTCATCCTCTCTCTCTCTCATCCTCTCTCTCATCCTCTCTCTCATCCTCTCTCACATCCACTCAGTGGCAGCACTCAACGAAGGTACAGTCCAGTACCGGGAGCAGGCAGGACTAAGAGTAGCGAGGAAGCCCCCAAAACCAATCCAGAGTCTCAGCCACGTTCACCTGGACCAAGGCGGGTAGAAGGCGACGGAGTAGGGGACCACAGCTCACAACTCATACCTCACTCTCTTCTCACCCGCTCACCCAACCCCCCTTGTTCACCTGGACAGCAGTGTGAGCACCATGGAAGGGCATGGTCCAGGACAGGGAGTAGGCGAGGCGAGGGTGAGGTGAGGCTGAGGGGATCTTCAAAACCTAAGAGTCTCAACTCAACCCAATCCCACCCGTGGCTCACCTGCACAGCTGTGGCAGCAGTCAAGGACGGCACAGTCCAGGGCGGCGAGTAGGCGAGGCTTAGAGAGGACGTTGAGACACAGTTAGGGTTCACTGCTAGGGGGCAGGGGCGGATGCGCCTGGGGAACAAGGCGATGAGAGGGGAGAGAAAGGAAGGAGGGAACAAGATGAAGGGAAGCACAGCAGTAGGCGAGGCGAGGCATAGGGAGGAAGTGGAGACACGATCGGGGTGGACAGCCAGGGGGCAGGAGCAGATGCGACTGGGAGGCGGGCGACGGGGTGGGGTTGGGGGAGACATATGGGGGAAAGAGACACAAGAGAGGCACGCAGAGCAGTAGGCAGCTGAGAGAGGAACTGGATACGGAGTGAGGTTCACTGCTAGGGAAGCAGAGGCGCATGCGACTGGAGGACAGAGAAAGCAGAGGCACATGCGACTGGGGGATAGAGAAAGCAGAGGCGCATGCGACTGGGGGACAGAGAAAGCAGGATACTGGGGAAAGGATGGGGGGGATGCTGAAGGCAAGGACAAAGGAAGTGAACACGCCCTCCCAAACCACAGAATTTCCTCCCAAACCACAGAATTTCCTCTCAAACCACAGAGATCCCTCCTAAAACATAGCACGCCCTCCCAACTGCCTCCCAAGAATCACACCAACCAACTCCTCGAATCCAGGAGCTTGAAGCTCTCAAGTCCAGCCCAGGAAACAAGCCATGTCGAGAAGATTCCACCAACCACAGGCTGTTTCCAATCCCCACATCTCTCCCCCCCCCCCCCCCCTCCTCTCCCAATTCTCTCCTTTTCTCACCCGTCCTCTTGATACAAGCCCAGCTTCCTCTCATCTACCACTCCCCCGCCTCCAACTTTGAAAAAAAAAAAAAAAAAAAACTTTCCCACCAAGTGACCCCCCTCCTATGTACTCTTTCCTTTCTCACCCGTCCACTAGCCCAACCCTCCTCACCCGTCCACTAGCCCCCCAACCCTCCTCACCCGTCCACTAGCCCCCCAACCCTCCTCACCCGTCCACTAGCCCCCCAACCCTCCTCACCCGTCCACTAGCCCCCCAACCCTCCTCACCCGTCCACTAGCCCCCCAACCCTCCTCACCCGTCCACTAGCCCCCCAACCCTCCTCACCCGTCCACTAGCCCCCCAACCCTCCTCACCCGTCCACTAGCCCCCCAACCCTCCTCACCCATCCACTAGCCCCCCAACCCTCCTCACCCGTCCACTAGCCCCCCAACCCTCCTCACCCGTCCACTAGTCCCCCAACCCTCCTCACCCGTCCACTAGCCCCCCAACCCTCCTCACCCGTCCACTAGCCCCCCAACCCTCCTCACCCGTCCACTAGCCCCCCAACCCTCCTCACCCGTCCACTAGCCCCCCAACCCTCCTCACCCGTCCACTAGCCCCCCAACCCTCCTCACCCATCCACTAGCCCCCCAACCCTCCTCACCCGTCCACTAGCCCCCCAACCCTCCTCACCCGTCCACTAGCCCCCCAACCCTCCTCACCCGTCCACTAGCCCCCCAACCCTCCTCACCCGTCCACTAGGCCCCCAACCCTCCTCACCCGGCCACTAGCCCCCCAACCCTCCTCACCCGTCCACTAGCCCCCCAACCCTCCTCACCCGTCCACTAGGCCCCCAACCCTCCTCACCCGTCCACTAGCCCCCCAACCCTCCTCATCCGTCCACTAGCCCCCCAACTCTCCTCACCCGTCCACTAGCCCCCCAACCCTCCTCACCCGTCCACTAGCCCCCCAACCCTCCTCACCCGTCCACTAGGCCCCCAACCCTCCTCACCCGGCCACTAGCCCCCCAACCCTCCTCACCCGTCCACTAGCTCCCCAACCCTCCTCACCCGTCCACTAGGCCCCCAACCCTCCTCATCCGTCCACTAGCCCCCCAACCCTCCTCACCCGTCCACTAGCCCCCCAACCCTCCTCACCCGTCCACTAGCCCCCAGCCCTCCTCACCCGTCCATCAGCCCCACGTCTTCGCCCTGCTCCCCCTGAGCGCAAAAAGGCTAACCTTCGATGGGACTCAAAATCCTGCCTCCCCCCCCCCCACACTCCTCCCTTCGCCCCCACCCACACTCTTCCCTTCGCCCCCCCCCCACACTCCTCCCTTCGACCCCCACCCACACTCCTCCCTTCGCCCCCCACCCACACTCCTCCCTTCCCCCCCCACCCACACTCCTCCCTTCGCCCCCACCCACTCTTCCCTGTCTCCCTGCTCACCCGTCCAGCAGCCCCACGTCGTCGCCCTGATCCTCCTGCGCGCGGGCATACGGCGACTGCGACTCTGCTGCCACCGTCGCCACCACTGACGGTTGGGCTGCGGTGAAAATCGGGGGAGGGAGAGGGGCAAGTGAGAGGCAAAAGCCGCAACAACAGTTCAGCCTGCTCCTGCTGGGGGCGAGCACAGGGGGGCTGCGAGTCTGCTGCCACCGTCGCCACCACCGACGGTTGGGCTGGGGTGAAAAGCGGGAGAGGACAGAAGGGGGAAAGCGGGAGAGGACAGAAGGGGGAAAGCGGGAGAGGACAGAAGGGGGAAAGCGGAGAGGACAGAAGGGGGAAAGCGGGAGAGGACAGAAGGGGGAAAGCGGGAGAGGACAGAAGGGGGAAAGCGGGAGAGGACAGAAGGGGGAAAGCGGGAGAGGACAGAAGGGGGAAAGCGGGAGAGGACAGAAGGGGGAAAGCGGGAGAGGACAGAAGGGGGAACGCGGGAGAGGACAGAAGGGGGAACGCGGGAGAGGACAGAAGGGGGAAAGCGGGAGAGGACAGAAGGGGGAAAGCGGGAGAGGACAGAAGGGGGAAAGCGGGAGAGGACAGAAGGGGGAAAGCGGGAGAGGACAGAAGGGGGAAAGCGGGAGAGGACAGAAGGGGGAAAGCGGGAGAGGACAGAAGGGGGAACGCGGGAGAGGACAGAAGGGGGAAAGCGGGAGAGGACAGAAGGGGGAAAGCGGGAGAGGACAGAAGGGGGAAAGCGGGAGAGGACAGAAGGGGGAAAGCGGGAGAGGACAGAAGGGGGAAAGCGGGAGAGGACAGAAGGGGGAAAGCGGGAGAGGACAGAAGGGGGAAAGCGGGAGAGGACAGAAGGGGGAAAGCGGAGAGGACAGAAGGGGAAAAAGAGAAGGGGGAGGGGAGAGGAAGAAGAGGGGAGGGGTGGGAGAGGGCGGGTTTGGGATGTTCTGGGCTGTTGTTGGAGAGCGGTGGAGGGGTTTAGGGTGAGATGGGAAGCGGTTGGGGGAAGTTTTGCGAGTAACAAGGTTGTGGGAGGGAGTGGGGGAGGGGGTGGGGGAGGGGGTGGGGGGCAATGGGAGAGCTATCACAGGCGTCTGGGAATTCCGGTCAGAGGAGTTGGGGTGGGACGAGAAGAAGATTGGAGTGAATGGGGAAGACGAGTGGGGATTGACGGGTTCGGAGAAACCTTCAAGCTGAGGCATCGATTCACGAACGAATCTCGGCTAAGGAATCTTTGGCAAGAGAGACTTGGCTAACGAATCTTGGCTAGAGAGCCTCGTCGAAGGAGCATTCCCCTACCGGCGCTATAGGCAGCGGCGAGCGCATCCATGGGAGTCGCGGCGGCCAGATGAATTGCGACCAACGCGCCCGCTACAGCGGAAACAATGCGGCCACGTGGCCATGCATGACTGGCGGACGCCGCGACATCGCAATCTTCCCCAGCCACGGCGAGCGGAGCAGATCCACGGGGGGGCGTTACGTCGGATCTGACTGCTCTCACTACCCCAGATGCAGAGGCTCGGCGCGCAAGCGCACTCGCCCGATGAGCGTCGACTCCCGTTGCGAGGGGGCGACGTTGGCGCGCCGACGGCAGCACGGCCACGCGGGAGGACCGCAGCGATGGGAAGGACGGCGAGAGCAGCGTGGAATGCACGCCGGTCGCTAGGAGAGCCGCCTGGGTAGTGCGTGCGGCCATGCTGGCTGGGAGGAAGGAAATGAGCTGATCAGGTAGGACCACTTATGGAAGGGAATGCAGCTGCCGAGGCTTCTTGCTGATGGTTTCGAAAGTGGAGCTTCGAAGGTAGTTTCATATTAGATTATTAAGTTAATACCTTTATGTCAACCCCAGTTAATAGACTATAGGTTAAATAAGGCCAAAAAAATGTACGCAAGAACCTAGAGGGTATTTGTTTGTGAGGCGGTTGCCCTTATGCTCGTAGTCGCGCCTCTATGCCTTTGAACGTTTTAGAAGTGCGTGCGTTATCGAGGATAATACTAGCATGGATATCAGGTTGAAGCTGGTCTCTGTGAATTGCACCATCGGGATCGTCGAGCCGCAGATAGGGAAGGTTCTCAAATCTGGCTGGGCGCTACTGGGCCCGCACCAGCCAGCAAAACGAGCTCCACCAACCACTGCCCTTGCCGCCCACCCTCCAACCCACAGTCACACCCCATGCCCACGTGGCATCAGTCGGTGGCAGAACTCCCCAAGCCTCGAGACTGGCTTGGGACCTCGGGAATGCCATGTGGAGACATAACCTCTTGGTAACACAGTGTATCCGATTGGAAAGCACTGCCACCGAAGCTTTTTCTTTGAAATATGCTATTAGACTTGGTCCTCATGGCTCCGCTAACACAAAAGCAGGACGCCTCACGCATGTCTTCACATGGAGACTAAGATGTACGGAAGTACAAGGGTCTAACTTAGCCGCTCGAGTTTGCAGTGCGTCACTCGCTTCGGTACCCTTTCGGCAATCGCCTGCGGACTTGCTTCGTTTCAGAGACGAATCTCGCATTCAGTCGATTTCATTTCCCGGAGTAACCGATGTAGGACCATGGAGTAGCATTGACTAATTTGGACACGTTTTACGTTGAGGAGGTTTCTAAGCCATCCGTTTATGAACTTAGGTCTTGAGCAGATTTACTCGTTATTGCGGGTCCAGCTTTTGCCGAACTACGTCCCGTATACAAACGGGCTCAGGTTTAGGCCATAGGCGAAACGCTACTCAGATTCAGGCCGTGGGCCGTCGCGGACGACGCATCCATGCGGGGAGCAGCATCTCGTGAAAAGATGTCGTTGTGAAAAGGTTACGTCGTGAAAAGGTGACGTCACTGCATATCGCTTGCTTACCGCTGAAGGAGCGATGTCGAGAATTAGACAAGCATCCACATCCCGAGCCTCCAATTATGGCCGAATTTACACATTTAGGACAAAAATTCATCGGATTCGGCTGTCCTCTATTTTCCTGGCAGCGTTTCTGTTCCTATGCTCCACCTCTGTAGTCTATAGCGAGACCAACAGTACCGATGACAAGGTTAGGGAAGATGGGTCGAAGTCCTCCAATCACCATCAAGGGATATGGGAGCGGATAGTATCAGGAGCCTTGGGAATTGATCAGGAAATGGAGGAGATAGAAAAGAGCCTGGGGATCGGCGGCAGCAGCTCCGACGAGAAGCAGTCGTCGACGGCCCGGGCTGATTCGAACGCAGCGAAGAAGACCGCAGGGAAAGCGGAAAGCGGAGGGGACGGTAAAGTGGCCGATGCGAAATCGGACGGCGAGGATGCAGAGAAGGAGGAGGTTGTGGAGAAAGAGACGGTCCAGATGCTCGCTGACGGGGATGCGGACGGGTTTCCGCTTCTGATCGGCGTAAAAGAGGCGAAAAAGGAGCCTAAGATTCCAAAGGCCGAAGAGGAATCTAAGAAAGGCGCTGGAGACGGAGGGGGGGGAGACGAGAAAGGGAAGGAGAAGGGAAAGGAGAAGGAAAAGGAACAGGGGACGGAGAGGGGAAAGGAGAAGGGAAAGGAAAAGGCAGAGGAGAAGGGAAAATCCGGAGCGAAGGAAGGTGATGTAGCAGCAGGGACGGGTAGCGGAAAGGCTGGGAAGGAAAGCGAGGCTGCGTCTGACGATAACCCGGACCAGTACGAAGGGGAGGAGGGGGAAAGCGCGCACAAGAAGGCGAAAGACGGCGGGAAGAAGGGCGGCAAGGGCGAGAACGTGGGCGAGATGATGGAGAAGATTCTCGAGAGGCTGGACGACATGGAGGGCGAGGGGGGGAAGTTCAACGAAACCCTAGAGAAGCAGGAGGCGGTGCTGGAGACGGTGGCGCGGGTGGGGAAGCACCACGTGCACGAGAAGGAGGAGAAGGAGCGCGAGGAGCGGGAGAAGCAGGAGCAGGAGGAGGCAGAGAAAGAGGCCGAGCTGAAGGCGAAACAGGAGGCGGAAGCAGCTGCTGCAGCGGCTAAGAACAGCTGGGACGGAGGGGTGACCACAGGTGGAGAGCGGTCGTTTTTCGACATTCTCCTGGGGATAGACGCCGCTCCTCCGCCTCCCCCCCCACCCCGCTCTCCTCCTAAAAACGTGACTAAAGCCTCAGCTAAGAACGAGACGAAGAAGGAGCAGGAGGCGGAGCAGGAAGACGAGAAAGACGTCCCCAGGCTCATAGACTCCCAGGATAACGAATACGTTATTAGCAGCCCCGGTAAGGGCTCCAAGATGCAGCTGCAGGAGGACTTTACCCTGATTTCGGACATAGTGAAGGTGATAGTGGCAGCAGCGCTGGGAGGGCTGGCGTGCGGGCTGATGGGGCAGCCCATCATCCTGGGGTACATCGTGGCTGGCATGGCCATCGGCCCAGGCGGGCTGGGGCTCATCCACGAGCTCGTGCAGGTCAGTAGGGTTACCACGTGGGTGTTACAGGGCGGTAGAGTTACCACATGGGTTTTACTGGAAGGTCAGTAGGGTTACCACGTGGGTGTTACAGGTCAGTAGGGTTACCACACAGGTGTTACAGGAAGGTCAGTAGGGTTACCTCATGGTTGTTACAGGGGGTCGAGTTCAGCTTCGCCAAGATGCAGGGGGTGCACAACTTGGTGCTGGGCGATTGTTACCCACACTCTCCTCTTCCTTTCCCCTGCCCTCCACATCCCAACCAGATTGAAACCCTAACCCAGTTCGGAGTGGTCTTCCTGCTTTTTGTGTTGGGGGTGGAGTTCAGCCTCGCCAAGATGCAGGGCGTGCACAACGTGGCGTGGCACTGGGCGGGGTCAACCCCCACATTCCCTCTCCCCTCCCACTCTCAACCCCTTGCAGGTTGAAACCCTAGCCCAGTTCGGGGTGGTCTTCCTCCTCTTCGCGTTGGGGGTGGAGTTCAGCCTCGCCAAGATGCAAGGAGTGCACAACGTGGCGCTGGGCGGCGGAGTGCTGCAGATCCTCATCGCCATGATTCTGGGCGGCATCTTCAGCTCCAACACGCCACAGGGGCTCTTCATAGGTGGGTGCAGCTGCAAGGATGGGCAATAGGTGGGTGCAGCTGCAAGGATGGGCAATAGGTGGGTGCAGCTGCAAGGGCTGTTCATAGGTGGGTGTGTGGGCCATGGCCTCAGCAGTGCGGGTAGCAGCAATTGGGCATGCTGGTACACAATCCATGCCCTCCATGCTGGTACACAATCCATGCCCTCCATGCTGGTACACAATCCATGCCCTCCATGCTGGTACACAATCCATGCCCTCCATGCTGCTGCACAATCCATGCCCTCCATGCTGCTACACAATCCATGCCCTCCATGCTGCTACACAATCCATGCCCTCCATGCTGGTACACACAATCCATGCCCTCCATGCTGCTGCACAATCCATGCCCTCCATGCTGCTACACAATCCATGCCCTCCATGCTGCTACACAATCCAATCCATGCCCTCCACGCCTGTATTCCTCAACTGTGTCTTTCCGTGTCAAAATGCCAGCATTTCCCTTCCCTTCCCTCCCCTCGCCCCCCCTTCCCTTCCCTTCACCCTCTCCCCACCAGGCAGTTTCCTCTCCATGTCGTCCACAGCAGTGAACTGTCCCTTCCTTCCTCTCATTCCCCCCTCCCACTACCGTTCTTGCCTCCCCCCCCTCTACCGTTCTTGCCTCCCCTCCCTCTACCGTTCTTGCCCCCACTACCCCAGGCAGCTTCCTCTCCATTGCGTCCGCGGCTGTGGCGCTCAGCTGCCTCTTTCCCTTACAGCCTCCCCCCTACCCCCCATCCCTTTCCCCAACAACTTCCCCTGCCCGCCCCACTCTATCACTCGCCACGCCAGGCGGCTTTCTTCCATGTCGTCCACGGCTGCCGTGTGCAAGTGCCTCTGTCTCTCCCTTCCTCTCATCCTGCGCATTTACCGTTCTCAACGCCTCTTTACCGTTCTTGCCCCCCCTCCGCCCGGCGGCTTCCTCTCCATGTCCTCCACGCCATGGCTGTGGTGCTCAAGTGCCTCTTTCCGCTTTGGCCCCCCCCTGCCCTCTCCTTCCCGGCCCCCCCTCCCCCCTCTCGCCCCTCGCCCCCCCTCCCCCAGGCGGTTTCCTCTCCATGTCGTCCACGGCGGTGGTGCTCAAGTGCCTCGTGGACATCAATGGCTTCAACTCCGAGCACGGCCAGGTGAGATGGGTGGGGGCCTCGATGCCAGGTGAGATGGGTGGGGGCCTCGATGCCAGGTGAGATGGGTGGGGGCCTCGATGCCAGGTGAGATGGGTGGGGGCCTCGATGCCAGGTGAGATGGGTGGGGGCCTCGATGGCCAGGTGAGCCTACGGGGGGTGCTGAGCTGAGGGGTGAAGTGCCTTGTGGACATCAATGGCTACAACTCCGAGCACGGCCAGGTGAGCATGGGCAGGGCAGGTGAGACTCAAGTCCAGGTGAGGTAGGTGGGGGTCTCAAGGGGTGATGGTGCCTGGCTGGAAGTCGTGGCTGACCAGGGTGCTGGGGGGTGAAGTGCCTCGTTGGCATCAATGGCTTCATGCCTTCAACTCCCAGCATGGTCAGGTGAGACTTGGGGCCTTGATGGGCAGGTGAGCCTGGGCAGGTAAATTTTAATTTTGGGCAGGTGAGATTCGGGCAGGTGAGATGGATACATGGCAGTCATGCCAGCATTCCCCATTGCTCTCCTCTTCCCTCACTCCCCCACCCCACTTCCCCCTCCCTTCTCCCCACTCCCCCCTCCCCCCTCCCATCCTCCTTTCCAGATCATGCTGACTGCTCTCTTTGCTGACTGCTCTCTTTGCTCACTGCTCTCTTTGCTCACTGCTCTCTTTGCTCCAGACTGTGCTCTCATCCCCCAATGCCAGCACTCAATACTACCCCCCCCCCCCTCTCCCTCCCACAAACCCCCTCTGTTGAGTCGACTCAAAGTCGCAATGCCAGCACTGAATGCGCCCTCGGCCTTCTCCTCGCAATAATGTCGGCGCTCGCCGCCCACCCCGCGTCTGCATCGCCATCTGCCATCCTGCATCCTGCTGGCTTTCTTCCGCGAGCTGCTCATTCTGCTCGCCTTCTGCCTCGTCACGAAAACCATGCCATGCCATGCCCTTCCCTGCCATGTCACGTTGTGCTCAGCCCATCCCTTGCTCCCTGGCTTTCTCCCCCCGCCCCCTCCACCCCCCCCCACAGATCATGCTCGGAACGCTTATTTCCCAGGATTGTGCCCTCGGTCTTCTCCTCGCAATAATGCCGGCCCTCGCCGCCCGCCCTGCATCCGCTTCCGCCATCCTGCTGGCGCTCTTCCGCGAGCTGCTCATTCTGCTCGCCTTCTGCCTCGTCGCATGGGCCATGTCGCGGGTTCTCATTCCGAGGTTCCTCCGCCTCTTAGTGCGCGTGTCGAGGGGCAACAACGAGCTCTACCAGCTGGGCATCATGGGCAACTGCTTGTGTGTGGCGCTACTATCCGAGTATCTGGGGCTTTCACTTGAAGTCGGGGCCTTTGTGGCCGGGCTCATGCTCTCAGGTGCGGGCCTGTGCATCCATCCATGCATCCATCCGTGCATCCATCCATGCATCCATCCATGCATCCATCCATGCATCCATCCATGCATCCATCCATGCATCCATCCACGCATCCATCCATGCATCCATCCATGCATCCATCCATGCATCCATCCATGCATCCATCCATGCATCCATCTATGCATCCATCCATGCATCCATCCGTGCATCCATCCATGCATCCATCCATGCATCCATCCATGCATCCATCCATGCATCCATCCGTGCATCCATCCGTGCATCCATCCATGCATCCATCCATGCATCCATCCATGCATCCATCCATGCATCCATCCATGACTTATAGCTGTCAGGACTTATAGCTGTCAGGACTTATAGCTGTCAGGACTTATAGCTGTCAGGACTTATAGCTGTTAGGTGCATGCACGTGTATAAAAGGATGCACGCCCTCATAAATTCTGATAGCACCCTGGGTTGCGTCTACTTACATTCAGTGCACCTTGAGTCAGTGCGTCCACATTCAGTGCACCTTGAGTCAGTACGTCCACATTCAGTTCACCTTGAGTCAGTTCGTCCACATTCAGTGCACCTTGAGTCAGTTCGTCCACATTCAGTGCATCCCGCCTCAAGCCAAGACGTCTGCCTCAGTGCAGCTTTCATCAGGTTCGGCCAATCAATACGCCCTTTTCCCCGACGTCTTCCCCACCCCACCCCCCCCCCCCCCCCCCCCCCCTTATGCCCATCCGTACTCATGACAAACCCCCCCTCCCCCCCCATCCCCCTAACCCCACTCGACTACAGGAGGCACCTACAGCGAGTGCACGCTGCATCAGATGGAGCCAGTGCGCAGCATGCTCACCGCGCTGCTCCCGGCGCTCTTAACACTCCCTCTCGTCCCCCTCCCCCCCGCTCCAGGCAGCACTCACAGCGAGCGCACCCTTCACCAAGTGGAGCCGGTGCGCAACATGTTTGCACAAACACCAGAGTGCGACCTCATTCTTCTGTGTGTCCCCCTCCTCTCGTCCCCCCCACCCCTCCCACTGGCAGGCGGCACCTACAGTGAACGCACCTTGCATCAAGTGGAGCCGGTGCGCAACATGTTTGCGGCGCTCTTCCTGGCGTCCATAGGCATGGTGATGCACCCCATGTTCCTCTGGCAACACAAGGACATCCTCCTGCTCGCGCTTGCTGTTGTCTTCCTGGGGAAAACGCTGCTGGTCGCTCTAGTGGTGAGTGTGAGAGAGGGGGATGGGGGCATGTGGCGAGTCTATCCTGGCGTCCATAGGCATGGTCATGCACCCCATGTTCCTCTGGCAGCACGAGGACATTCTGCTGCTGGCCCTCGCTGTGGTGTTCCTGGGGAAAACATGTCTCGTTGCACTCGAGGTAAGGAAAGAGAGGGCAATGGGGGGGCATGAGGGGAGTTGGAGTTTTGCCTGGCGTCCATAGGCGTGGTCATGCGTTCATGAAACCCTCCTCGCGGAGCTTGGGTGTATTCCGTGGCGGTAGGGTGTACTTTGAGCCGACTCACCATGCACCTTAGCGCTCCACGTGGCACTCGTGATAAAGGGAGAGAGATAGAGAGGGACAGGGGGCAAGGTGGTGAGACCATGGCATAGCATGAAGCTCATAGGCATGGTCATGCACCCGTGGTGGTGGTGAGACCACGGGGTGGCAACAATAACCCCTGCCCACCTCCCAAGAAGATCCCTCCTCCCCATTTCCCACCCTTCCTCAAGGTCCCGGGCATAGTGCAGGAGCAGCGACCTACAGTGGGAATTGCATTAGCCCTAATGGCCAAGCCAAGGAGGAATCGCACTGGCACTCAAATCGCCAGACAGCTTTCGCCTGCAAAACGCTCTCCACCCCATCTTCCCCTCCCCTCCTTCTCCCCTTCACCCAACCCCCCCCCCCCTTCCATTAGGTCCGGGGCTTTGGCTACAGTGCTGGCACAGCAACAGCAGTCGGTATTGCCCTCGCCCAAATCGGGGAGTTCTCGTTCGTGCTGCTCTCCCGGGCTCAAACCCTCAAGCTGGTGGGGCACAAGCTGTACCTGCTCCTCATGGGCACCACCGCCCTCTCGCTCGTCCTCACGCCCTTTGCCTTCAAGCTCGTGCCGCGCCTAGCCGCAATCGGTGCCCACCAGGATAGGGCCAGGCTGCTCAAGAGCAAGAGCCTGGTGTCGCCCGCAGGAGTGGGGGGAGGCGGGGGAGGAGGAGGAGGGGGAGGGGGAGGCGGAGGGGGTGGGGGTGGGGGTGGGGGAGGGATGGGTGGAGGAGGAGGGGTGGGTTTGCCTGTGAGTATGGCTGGAGGTGGAAGTGGGGGAGGAGGGGGAGGAGGAGGTGGGGGTGTTGGTGTGGCAGGCAATGCGGGAGGAGCAGGAGGAGGAGCAGTAGGAGCAGGTGCAGGGTATGGTGCCTTTGGGGGCCTTCTGAACGGGGTTGCTGGAGTGCTCTCTCCTCGCTCTGCTGCTGCTGCAGCGGCGGCGGGGGAAACTCAGGTGCTGCTGGCAGGGGATTCTGCCCCTCTCTCGGGGGCTACTGTTCCTCAATACCTGCACCACCACTACCACCACCAACCCTCACACAACAACCCCTCACTCCTCCCCTCCCACCATCATCACCTCCCTCCAGCCCACCCATACCACCACCCCGTGCAGCACTATGGCACAGCAGCGGCAACCCACGAATCCCTAAGGCCTAGAAACCCGGTTAAAGGCACTGATTCAGGGGGTAGAAACCTAGTCAGGGGGTCAGATTCTGGGGGTAGTTCGGGCTCTGGGAGTGCAAGCGACTGGGGCTTATCTGAGGATTTCTTTTATGAAAGGGGCAGTTTGGAGAATCGTGGAGGCCCGGGGCCAGGTACGGGAGGTGGCTTAGCTGGAGCAGGTTCGGCGGCAGGTCTGGGAGGAGCAGGCTCGGGGTCCGGCTCCATGGCTGCATCAGCCTCGGCAAGCTCAGGCCTGACATCCCCACCTGGCCGAACCTTGTCGCCGACAGGTTCGGTAACGCAGCGGTCTCCCAAGGTTGTCGCGGGGCAGGTTCGGAGAGTGGCTCAGGTGGCAGCTCAGAGCCCTCGAGGGGGACTTGCGGTTACCAGTAACACCAACAGCCCTATGAAGGCGTTTGCGTTATTGGGAACTGTGGAGGAGGGGGGAGAAGTGAGACGAGATGAGTGGGAGGAGGGGGGAGGAGGGCCATTCCAATACGCGTCGAGCTCTGGGTTCTTTTCAAGGTGGGGCGTTAGAGGGCAAGTGCATCAGCAAAAGAAGGAGATGGCGCACCAATCATAACCATTGAGTGTTGTTTGTTAACAACAGTTCTGTACCTCCAACAAGCCACGTGGAACTGAGAAACATGTATTCACTCTTAGAAAAACGCATTGAATAGAAACAAGGCATGCCATGGAACTGTATGGTTGGGTGTTGTACTCTCTAAGAGCATGAACCCTTCTAGCCTATAATTGCTACATATACAATACATGTATAAGTTGACACACCCCCTAGGCTAGACAAGGGGTGGTGCCTTGTTAAATTATATATATGTTATATTATTGTAGGCTTGGTAGGTGTTACTGAAACCTACTGTAGAGGGTACAACCCCCCTCCTTGTATCCCTCTCTCTTCTATTCTCGTCTCTCTTTTCTCTCGTCAACTTTCCTAGCCTAAAACCTCTCGCCATTTCTATGGCTTCCCTCCTACCTAGATTCTAGCTTAGTTTAACATGGTATCAGAGCAGATTGCCCTTCCCGGGCCTGCTCCCCACGCTTCCGCCGCGCACTCCTTCTCTCCCTCTCGCGCTGCCATGGCGGCCGCGTCCTGCGGCTGTGGTGGCGTCGTCGTGCCGCTGGCCGCGTCGTGTCGCGGCTGTCTCGACGGGCTGCCGCAGCGTCGCGCTGTCGTGGCATCGACGTCCAGCCATGGCGGCGTCGTCGACGTCCAGTCGTGGCGGCGTGACGGGGCCATCGTGCTGCCGTCGCAGCATCGACGTCCCGCCGCGGCTTCGACACCGCACTATGGCGGCGTCGTCGGGCGGCAGCCGGCCGCGCAACGCCTGTAGCGCCGCTAGACCTGCCGCCCGCTCGCCTGCCACGGGCGTGATTCTGGACCACACCACCCCCCCCCCCCTTTTCCCCTGCGTCCCCTCTTCCTCGCCACAGTCGACGCCTGACTCGTGAGGGTCTTCCCCATCATCGCGGAGCTTGGCCACGCCGCCAAGAGGGCGGGGGCCGCTGCAGTCGCCTCTGACGTCGAAGCCGCTGCCGACGCTGCTGTCGCCGCTGGCCTGTTGCCGCCGCACGCCGCCGCCGCCGCCGCTGTCGTCACTGCCGCCGCTGCCACCGTTGCCATCTCACGGGCCTCGGGGATTGGCCATGCCGGAGTAGTCATGGCTGCTGCTGGGAATGGGGGTGCTAGGTTAGGGGGTGTGGGTGTGTGTGGGTTCTTCTACTACCAAGCCTAGGGGGTGTATTAAATTTTATATATGTTATATAATTGTAGGCTTGGTAGGTGTTACTGAAACCTACTGTAGAGGGTACAACCCCCCTCCTTGTATCCCTCTCTCTTCTATTCTCGTCTCTCTTTCTCTCGTCAACTTTCCTAGCCTAAAACCTCTCGCCAATTCTATGGCTTCCCTCCTACCTAGATCCTAGCTTAGTTTAACATGCCTAGCGAGAGACACGCAGCTCAAGGCGGCACTACAAGTCCAACCTCTGAGGCAAGGGTCTAAAGATCAGTCACCAAGAGTACAGGCTAAACAAGAGTAACCCAGGGCGGCACTACTAGTCCAGCCACTGGAACAAGAGCGACAAGGCCAGTCAAGATAATATAAGGAGCAGTACACAATCAAGGTCCTAGCAAGTGAGGAGCTACTGGAACTAGACCAAGCTGTACACAGTGCCGCTAATGATCCTTAGGCGCAAGCGCCTTAGTAAAGATATCAATTGTGTTGGCACTGGAGGCCAAGTGTACTACGCGGGCCTGGCACCGCTGCTGTAGCTCGCGCAGAAGAAAGTGTTGCAGCTGGATGTGCTTCGCTCTGCCCTCTAGTAGAGGCTCCTGACAAAGGAGGATCATAGTCTTGTTGTCAGCGTACAGGACCGGTGTAGAGCTAGGCCGCTCACCTAAGCTAGTGAGTAAGAAAGTCAGCCAGCAAAGCTTCTGTGCCACCATGGCACCAGCGTAGATCTCAGCCTCACAGCTAGACAGGGCAACAGACAACGAGCGGGTGGATCTCTACGAGATGGCGCCTGCACCAAGGCTAAAGTAGTAGCCTAGGGAGGACCTGAGAGTCTCAGCGTCGTCCGCCCACGAAGCGTCTGTATGCCCTGTGAGAACCACTGGCCTGCATCCTCCCAGCACTAGCCCCATGCCCGATGTACTAGCTAGATAGCGCAAAACCCTCTTAGCGGCCGACCAGTGCTGGGGTCGGTGTCGGCCTGTCGCAACAAAGCTAGCCATGATACTAAGAGGGTATGCGAGATCTGGACGAGCGCAAGTCATCAAGTACATAAGGCAGCCTACAAGCTCTGCGTACGGACCACTGGGCTCAACCGACTCGTCAGGGACAGGAGCCGAGAGCCTGTGGTCTACTGGCAGAGGTGTAGGCTGTGTGGAGGAGAACTGAATCCTCAAACTCTGAAGGACCTATCGCACCAAGTGTGACTTTGTGAGAGTGATGGCGTGCACTGCTCTGTCCCTGGTGATCTGCAGGCCAAGGTAGCAGCGCAGCTCTCCTAGGTCAGTGAAGGTGTGTCTCCTTAGCAGCTCAGCCTTCACTGAGGTCAGTGCGTCTTTGTCTGCAGTAGCGAAGGTAGAAGGGAGTCTGGCCTGAGCGAACAAAGATCAAAGGGTCAGCAGAGGACGGAAAGAACTGCAGGTCTGCTAACATAGCACGTAGTGTGTCGTGCCATTTACGGGGCGCTTGCCGCAGACCGTTAACCGGGCGCCGAAGGAACCACTCGGTCCTAGGAGGGAAAGTGATAGAGAAGCCTGGCGGACGGCGAAGGTAGATCTGCTCGTGCAGACTTCCCTGGAGAAACGCAGTGGAGAAATTGAGTGAGTGCAGCTCGTAGTCACGCTGTGCTGCTACGTGAAGCAGCACCCGAAGGGTGGTCAACTTCGGGGTCAGGGTGATGGTCTGAAAGAAGTCAACACCCTCGCGCTAACTGAAGCCTCTAGCAGCGTAGCGCGCCTTGAATACCGGCGGCTTTCCAGGGGGGCACTTCACCTTGAAGAGCCATCGGCCATCAACTATGTTCGCCCTAGGTGGGTGAACTGCGTTGACGTATGTGCCAGTGGATCTCGAAGATGCCATCTCTACGACCATGGCAGCTATCCACTGAGAGGCCCCCGGTCCCGAAGTCGCCTCAGCGTAGGTGCGAGAGGTTGGGATATGAAGAGCGTCTGGGTCACCTTCAGGGGCTAGCAGCATGGAGCAGAGATGAGGAGCGGCCTTGGACAGGAAAGCTAGCTCGTACTGCCTATCCTCTAGGACGTCATTGCCAAGGGCAGATGCACCCCCGACGAACTAAGGACGGGCAGGGTAAGAGACCAGAGGGGTGGCGTAGTCAAGGCAGCGGGTAGAAGCAAAGTCGGCAACAGCATCGACAAGACGGTTGAGACTGGGGACAGGAACGGACGGGTCGGTAACAAGAGAGGCGAGGACACGGGGAACAAAAGGGTGAGCAGCACGGAGGAGGTCAGAGAAAGAAGGCAAGGAGACACCTAGGGATGACTGATGAGGCGACGGGAGAAGAGGAGGAGGAGAAGCATGAGACGCGTGAGAATAGAGGGACATAGGGTGAATGCTCGGAGCGGGAAAGATGGAATGAGCACGAGAGGGGCGGTGAGACCACCAGTGAGACAGGGGTGTAGGGTCAGAAGACAACGGCAGAGACAAAGGAGGAGAACGAGGGGGGGAACGAGCCAGGGACGAGTCCGGCGGAGGATACACAGGACCGTAGATAGGAGGAGGAGCGGTGCTGGGGGAGGCACTGGCGGTTAGTCGGGGGAGGGGAGACCGAGAAGGCGAAGGGCAGAAACTGGCGGCGACTGCTGCTACTGCTGCTGCTCCGCGCCCACACCAGGACCTCCAGCCACACCATGGCAACCGCCGGAACTCTCCATGACAGCACCCCCATGACTAACACCCCCATAACTAGAACCCTTTCCTGCAATCGCGCCACCCCAAGGACCGCCAGGACTAGCCACGAGAGTACCCCCAGGACTAGCGCCCCCAGAACCAGCACCCACAGAACCACCACCCCTAGGACCAGCACCCTCCTCAGCGCCCACACTCCTAGTACCCCCAGAGCTCGCGGACCCCTACGGCTGCGGCGGCTGCTGTGGTGGAGGAGACACCGAGGCCGAGGGTGCTGACAATGCGGACAACCGAGAGAAGGGGAGTGACATGAGACACACCAGACGGGGCAGGACGGGGAGCAGGAGCTACCGAGGGAGTGGGGGCAAGGAACAGGGGTGAGGTGACTAGGAGACCTCGGTGGGGGAAGCGGGTGTAGAAGGGGACATACTCGTTGAAGGTGACGTCACACGGGTGAAAGAAACGGTGAGACGTGAAGGAACTAGCTTAGAGGAGAAACGAATAATTGAGTAGGGAGCCAAGAGGCTCTATTGTACAAACTTGAGCAAGGAAGAGGTGGAAGGGAAGCTCTCCTATTGGCCATAATGTGGACCAATGGGAGAGATAGCTTGGAGGACAAGCAACCACAAAGTGTGGTGCTCTCTTATTGGCCACAATATGGACCAATGGGAGAGGTCGCTTAGAAGGCAAGCAACCACAAAGTATGGGGCTTGGTGATTGGTTGGTTCTTAGGACCAAGGACCATTTGGTTGGAGTAGTGCCAACCAAATGTCTAGGACCAAATCCAATCTTGACCAACCCAAATGTGGGGTTGATCAACCCAACCAACAACCCCCCAATAAATATAATGACTACACCTCCTAATCTAGCCATGCATGTTGCATAGATATATATTTTACAACACAACCCCCCAACATGCATAAGACTAGATGCCTTGAATCAGGAGGCGAACGAGGGAACAGGGGGAGCAAGGCCGAGAAGGCGAAGGAGGGAGGAGTGAGCGGCATGGGGGAGGGCTTTGGTGAAGATGTCGGCAAGATTGGCGGCAGAGTCAATCTTGCCCAGCTGGAGGTGGCCACCCTGCACGAGGTCGCAAATGAAGTAGTGGCGAAGCTCGATGTGCTTGGAGCGCCCGTGGAGCACAGCATCCTTCGTGAGGTGGATGGTGTTGGCGTTGTCGCACCAGATAGGGGAACAGCGCTGAGGGGCACCAAGCTCCTCAAAAAGGAATGTGAGCTAGCGAGCCTCCTGCAGCCATGGTAGCGGCATACAGCTCCACTTCGCAAGAGGAGAGGGCAATGAAGGAGGAGCGGGTGGAGCGCCAGCTGATGAGGCCGCTGCTAAGGGAGAAGCCATAGCCCTGAGAGGAGCGGCGGTCAGGCCTAGAGTCAGCCCAGGAG